CATTCAGATATATCATCCTCTCCTGAGCCTGGTGATAGAATAACTTCAGTTCATTTTCTTTCCTCTTTCAAGAATTCAGTGCCTGGCTCACAGACTTCTTCTCTTTCCCAGCTTCTGCTCTTAAACTTGGAGATTTCAAAGTACAAATTGATGTCCTTTCAAACACCTTCTCTTTTCAGCTTCTCAACTCCTTGGTTCCCATGATCTCTGTACCTCCTCTGGGTATAGTTCTATGCTTGATCTCATCATCTCCCATAAGTGTCTAATCTCCATGATTTAGAATTCTGAAACTGCTTACTGTAACCACAACTTCCTGTTTTTCCATTTGTCCTTGTGTTTCACCCCTTCTAAAGCTGTTCTCAGGTCTCACAACTCTTCAATCATTTCAACTCTCCGCGCTCTTCCAGATCATCACCCCAACTCCGGCTCCATTTTCCTCCCTTTAAAATCTTAACCTTACAGTTAACTGTCCACCTCTCCCCTTGAATCATTTGTTGCTCCCTGTTTTTTTTTTTATCTTTTTATATCTTTTCCGGGGGATGATGGGGAAACACTGAAGCAAGGTGGTGTCATAGTCAGACCTGTGCTTTAGGAGTATCAGTTTGGTAGCTAAGAGGAGGAAGGATTGGAGAGGATAGAGACTGGATGCAGAGAGACCGATAAGGAGCATTGCAATAGTCCAGGTGAGAGGTAAGGAAGGCCTGAATGAAGATGGTGATTGTGAAGGGAAAGAAGGGGACAGATGAGAGTCATGGTGTGGAGGCAGAGTCGATAAGACTTGGTAACTGATTCTACATGGTGGAAGAGTAAGGATGAAGAGTGATTGTGAATCTGGTGACTGGAATTATGTGGTCTGTATCTCTGTCCAAACACTAACCACTGAATATTTCCCACATCTACCTCCTTTGCTCCCACTTTTTTGCGAAAGTTTAGTGGAAGAAAATTATAGAAACATACTGATTGGGTCAACTATATTCTTTCTTTTTTGTTCTAGTTTCAGATTTTGAAGTAGCCCTTCTTGCCAAGCCCAATCTCCACTGCTTATGCCTTTGATCACATCCCCTCAAGTCTCTTCTTTAAGCTATAACGTTCAATCATCTCTTCTAATTTCAATCTTTTATTATCTATTGACTCCTTTCCTACATCCTACAAACGTGCCTACATCTCCTCTAAGCCTAAAAAATTCACTTTATCCTGCTATCCCTTTAGGTTATTATTCTAACCTAATATTAGGTTATTATGTCTCTCTTCCTCTTCACATTTAAATTCCTAGAAAAAGCTATTTACACTAATCACTTCAGCTTCCTCACCTCCCACTCACTTCTCAACACTTTGCAATCTGGATTCTGATCCTCCCCCCCCCCCACCATTCAAATGAAATTGCTTTCTTGTTAATGATCTTAATTGCCAAATTATTGTTGACCACCTCCAGGATACTCTCTTCTTCTGGTGACATTGCCCAGGTCTTCCTCCTATCTGGCCCATCACTCCTTCCTAGCCTCCTTTGCTTCTTAGCCTCCCCCATGCCTGTGTGTATCCCAGAGCCATCCTGGACCTTCTTTTCTATTCTCTCTACATCCTCTATTTTGATAAGTTCCATTAGATTCCTTACATCTGATTATCGTCTGCATAGATGTAACTCCCAAATCTAAATATCCAGTTATATCTCCTAAACTCCAGTCCTATGTAATCGATTCCTGCTGGATATCTCCACCTGGATGTGCCACTCAGTATGTCCCAAACAGAACTCATGGTGCTTCCCTTTAAACCTACCCCCTGGCTTCCCTGTTTCTGTTAAAGGGACCACCATTCTTCCAGTCACCAGATTCACAATCACTCTTCATCCTTACTCTTCCACCATGTAGAATCAGTTACCAAGTCTTATTGACTCTGCCTCCACACCATGACTCTCATCTGTCCCTTTCTTTCCCTTCACAATCACCATCTTCATTCAGGCCTTCCTTACCTCTCACCTGGACTATTGCAATGCTCCTTATCGGTCTCTCTGCATCCAGTCTCTATCCTCTCCAATCCTTCCTCCTCTTAGCTACCAAACTGATACTCCTAAAGCACAGGTCTGACTATGACACCACCTTGCTTCAGTGTTTCCCCACCATCCCCCGGAGAAGATATAAACTCCTTTGTTTGGAGTTTCATAGTCTGACTCCATCCTATGTTTTCTGGCTTATTTACAATTCCCACACTTCCTGCACCCCATACTCACCTCAGACCTACTTGTTGTTCCCTGTACTGGACATTCCACATCCCACAGCCATGCCTTTGTCTTCCCTCCCTGGGATGCCCTTCCTCCCTACCTTTGCCACTCGAAAACTCTAGTTCCATCCAAAAGCTCAGCTGAAGTGTCACCTCCTATAGCAGGCCCATCTTCATTCCCTTCCTGTTCTTAGTGCTTCCTTTGAAAAATTACTTTGCATTTTATACACACACACACACACACACACACACACACATATATATATATATATATATATATATATATATATATATACATATATATTTCATATTCACTTATCTCTGTATGTGTTATTTCCTTCCCCATGTCCCAAGCAGAATGTACTCCTTAAGGGCAGAGCTTGTTTGATTTTTGTCTTTGTACTCTCAGCACCTGCCTAGTACCAAACCTGGTTCCTAAAGGTTGCTCAACAGGTGTTTGTTGAATTGAATTTTACCAGTCACTTCACTGTCTTAGTTTCCTCATCTACAGAATGAGGGGGTTAATCCTAGATACTCTCTGACATATTTTCTATGTCTCAGTCCTGTGATCTGTAGATAGGACAGCTGAGCTAGAGAAAAGAGTTAACTCAAGGGTACCTTACTACACAAAGTAGGTTCTTAGTAAGCAAATTATGGGAACTTTTTTTTTTCTTAACAGCCTAGTAAAGCAAAATGAACAAGGGACGTTCATTTCATTGCTGGGGGTTTTTTTGGTTTTTTTTGAGGCCCTATAATTAGGTGACATTGCACCACTTCTGCGGCACCTTCTTGTAGGATGGACAGAACAGATGGTGCCTCTGACTTGTGGGACCCAACAGAGGACAACTCTGATGCCATCCGTCTTCCCTCTCCATGGCCCCCATACCAGCTCGTTTCCAGCTGAGGATCTTTCCCCCTGAGTCACAGCTCTGGAGTTCTTTCTAGGCTTAGTTTGGGGTTTGACCAGGGGAGATCCAGGGAAATCACCATTGTCTAGCACAAAAGAGGGAAAGATGCCTTATCCTTTTCCTGTCTCCCAAGATCCAAGCTGGACCAACATTGGAAGCCAGAGAAGCTGCTCTTTTGCCACATGAAACACTTGGCTGGGAGCAGGCTGGGAGCGGGGATGAGCAGTGGCTTCGGGGTTCTGGCCAAGGCTCCCAAATCCCTGACCCCAAGCATTCTCGGAAGAGTAGGCGGCCCCAGAGCTGCAGTTCAAAAGAAGAGTGCAACCAGTCCTGAGCCACCAAGCTGTTTTACACTCAGTAGAAAGAATAACAGATACAGTCAGATGGTCTGGGTTCAAATCAGAGATGTGTTTAGTAAATTTTTTGAAGACTGGCTCTCCCAAAAGGCACACTTTTTTTTTAGGTCCCATTCCTTTTATTCTGTTTGTGTTTGTTTATTTACTTTAAGCAAAGAGACTTTTTTATTCTTTTTTTTTCTATTTCTAAATTCTCTCCCTCCTACTACTCCCTTCCCTGCCCAATGAGAAGACAAGAAAGCCGGGCACACTTTTAAATTAAATCTGCATTATTAACATTTTCTCCATTATTTTAGTAAGTCCAGACAATCAACAAAACAGTAAGCTAAGCCTTGATGTGTAACATTGCCATCATCCCAGGGTAAATGCTCACACTCAAAATTTAACAATCAGCTTTCCATATGCGCTGGCTCCAGTGCACTCCTGGTTCAAGTCTTACCACACTGGCTCTGGGTGTGACCTTGTGTAAGACCCTTTAATTTCTCTGGACCTCAGTTTCCTCATCTGTAAAGTGAGGGGGATTAGACTAGCTGACTTATAAGGATCCTTCTGACTTTAAATCTGTCACCCTACTATTCCAAATCTTACCCTTGCTCAGGGCTTCTCCAAATCTGGCCACAGTGACCTGAAATAATATGATTTCAGCCTGAAGGAGAACCTAGTCATCCATCCCCATACAATGCTGGTGACAGGGAAAGCCCGTCAGGCTCAGAGTCAGAGGATCTGGGTTCAAAACCCAGGCTCTATGACTGAAAAGAGTCACTTTGGTCTTTGGGCTTAATTCCTTATTTGTGAAATCAGGCTGTTAAACAAGACAATCTTTAGTGTCCCTTCCATGAAGAAACAGTTCTATGAAGAAACAGTCTCCTTTCCCAATTTTGTTGTTGTTCAGTCCTGTCCAACTCTTCATGACCCCATTTGGAGTTTTCTTTGGCAAAGATACTGGAGAGTGGTTTGCCATTTCCTTCTCCAGCTCATTTTACAGATGAGGAAACTGAGGCAAATAGAATTAAGTGACCTGCCCAGGGTCACAAGGCTATTAAGTGTCTCATGTCAGATTTGAACTCAGGAAGATGAGATAGAGTCTTCCTGACTTCATGCACTGCACGCTATCCACTGAATCACCTAGCTGCCCTAAAAGTACTGGTAGCAGCTCTTTTCATGATAGTTAAAAATTAGAAGCTAAGGGTTCATCCTATTGGGGAACCACTAAATTAGTTGTAGCAGGTGAATGAAATAGGATGTAATTGTGCTGTAAGAAATTATGGAGTGGACAATTCCAGAGGAAAATGGGAAGACTTTTACGAACTTATGCAGAGCAAAGTGAGCAGAAATAGAACAATTGTACAATGGCAAATTTTTAGAGAAAAACAACTTCAAGAGACTTTAGAATGATCAATGCAATGATAAACAAGTTAAAAAGAATTAAGGGGAAATATGCCACTTACCTCCTGAGAAAGAAGTGATGAATTTTAAATGCAGAAAGAGATATCCATTTTCAGACATAGCTAATATGGGAATTTTTTATTTTGATTTTTTATCAGATTAAACAGCTTGGTATGGAAGGCTTTATTTTTCATCTTGGTTTTTTTTTTTCATTTGCTCAATGGAAGGGAGAGGTAGTGAGAAGGAAAGATTAATTTTTAAAAATGCTTATTTAAAAAAAAGGAAAGAAAGAAAATGAAGGGAATAAAAGGAATCATGGTTAGGGAGTGAGTTGGGACCCAGAAAAAAGCAGGGGGGTAAGTGTGGAGTTAGACTTTGAAAAGAGGGTATGAGAACCAGACTGGAATGCTGAGCCTGGGGGTGATGTCTCCCAGAGAGAGACAACTTGGGCCCAAGGTCTTGGTATCTTTGCCCTTGGGTTGTGGGCTTGTCAGTTAAACAATCAGTTTAACTGCCCTTGGCTGAAGGTTCCACTGGTGTTGGCCTGGACAGATAGGCGCCCCATAGAACAAGCAGCTCTCACAAAAGGCCGGTCAGTCGGGAGTATCCAAGACATCAGAGACCAGCATGTTCCCATTCTACTTTGAGGAGACAGAGACAGTTTTCTGTCTCTCACTTCAGTTCAACTCAACAAACATTTATTGGCCAACAAATCCACTACGTATAGAGCACTTTGCCAAATATGCTGGGGAAAAATGAAAATGAAGCAATGTTGTTCTCCAATACTTGTGTGTCAACCATGATCACATAGCTGTGAGTATTCATAGAATTATGGGATGCTAGATTCAGAGTGTGAAGGGACCCTTAAGGTCAGTGAGTCCATAGCCCCCATTTTATAGATGAGGAAACTGAGGCCCAAAGGTACAGGTTTATCCATGCTGTCTCACTCTGTGTGACTTATTTTTTGATGTCCTCCCAAAAGTGTTCCTGGCACATAATAAGTGCTTAATAAATGCTTTTTTCCCACCTTCATTCATTTATCCTCTAGAAGAGTTCCACCCAGTGCTTTGTTCTAACGTCATGATATGAATGCCAGTATAGTGCTCACCCTATCCTACTTAGACCTCTCATGAATCTCTCTGTTGCCCTTTGGAACAACTGAAATTTTGATTCTTTGGAGCTGGAGATGAGAAGGGCCTTAGGGTATGAGTGAAAGAGTATCAAGTCCTTCTGAAAGAGGGAGCTATGACATTCTATGGCTGGCATCTTCTCCTGCTGAGGAGGACAGCCAGGAGAGCCAAACATTGAAGAGATGAGCCCATGGTGCTCAGAGCCAAGGGAATAATGGCACTGTAGCACTGAGGGCCCAGCCTGATCCGTGAATGATAGGAAGGAGCAAACCTTGACCTTATCCCTCGATGTGTCCCCATTCAAGGCAGTATTCTAGGGCATGTAGGCTATACAGGTCCCTGGAGAGTGTTGGCTTACCTGGAATGGAAGGCCTCTGGATTCTTTAGCACACTTTCAGTTTTCTCCTCTTGTTTGGAGCTCCACCTATAAGTTGTGGCAAAGTGCTTGGCACTAGCTACTGAAGAAGGTTCTTAATCAACACTGATTGATTGGTTGAGAAGACTATATAGATGGGAATAGGGAGGCCTAGGCTCACTGAAGAGGGCTTGGAGCTGAACACTGAGTTACCTTGGGAGCTTCACTTGATGTGGAAAGGACCATTTAGATGTCTGCAAGGAAATAGAGGCCTACCTGAAAAAGAAAGGATCTTGTGTATATATTCTCCATGAATAAATAACACTTGTATGTTGAGATTTGAACCCAGGTCCCTTGGCAACAAGATGGCACAGTGGAGAGGCCTGGAGTCAAGAAGACCTGAGTTTAGACAATTATAACCTATGTGACTCTGGGCAAGTCACATAATTTTTGTCTGCCTCAGTTTCCTTATTGTAAAATGGTGATAACAATAGCGTCTATCTCTCAGGGTTGTTGTGAGGATAAAATAACTTTTGTAAGCTTTGCAAACCTTATAATGCTATATAAATGCTAGCTATTATTATCATTATGTCTGAGGTCAGTACTCTATCACCTAGAACATATAGCCTTATGCTGTCCTTGGAGGAAATAGTATAAACACAAATAAGTCTAATAGAGGGTCGTTTGGGGAGGAAGAAAGCAATAGCTACAGCAGGAATCAGAGAAAGCTTCATGAAGGAGGATGTGCCCTGAAGATGGGGATTCTGAAAGGCCTCAGTGTGGGGAGGAAGGGCATTTCTAGGCATGTGGCTTGTGTGGATGCATGAAGATGGCAGCTGGAATGTTGAATTTAGAGAACGAATGATAGTTAGGTTTGGTTGGAATTTGAAATGGAAGAAAGAGAATAATAAGACATTAGATTGTGTAGGACTGTGAACATTAGGCTATTGAGCTTCTATTTTATCCTGGAGGTAATAGGGAGACATTGAAAGTTTTGGTTCATGGGGTTGGCAAGGCCAGAGCTGTGCCTTAGCAGTATTACTTGGAAGTGATGTGGGAGATGGATTAGAGTGGAGACATCAGAACCCTGAAGAGTCATTAAGAGACTGTTAGAATAATTTAGCAGTCAGGTGATGGCTGTGACGGCAGAGAGGATGGAGTGAGTATGAGAGGTGGAGTGCTAGAATCAGATTGCTAGCTTTAGCCCCCAGGCAAAGAAAGGAGGTTGGCTAGGGAAAGTGGGACAGGACACGAAGAAATTGTTTGGGGTTTCGGTTGTAATGAGCAACACAGAAGCCAAAAAGCGTGCTTGATGAAAGTTATAGGCCTGTGGGCCAGAATTTTATCATCTCCCTTTTGGTGAGAAGGGAGATTTTAAGCTGAATGAAGTTAGAGGATTATTGATAAAGCAAAATTAAATGGATAATAGAAAGTTGGCCTCAGAGTAAGGAAGACCAAAACTATTCCTGATGGAGGATTTATGGTCCTGAAAACTCCCTAGGACTATAATATAAATTGGACCGAAGCTGCTAATCTGCTTTGGTTATCTATAATGAAATCACACACAAGGTGTTAAAACAACAACCAAAAAATAAAGTGAGAGGACTTAGATGATCTCTAAAGTTCCTTCAAGGTTTATAACTAAGACGCCATGAATGGGCAGAGGAAGTCAGAGCTGGGGCATCCAACATGGCTGGGTACTCCAGAACCCCAGGATGGCTTAGGGAAGCAGTACAAGGAAAGTCTCAGGTTTTCTTAGGGCTGTACCCCCTTATTCTGACCCAGTCTGTACCTGAATGTGCCCACTGGGCTCACCTAGTCCAGAAGCATGTGAGAGAGGGGGCAAGGGACTCAATGTTCCCCTGTATGTTTGTGTGTTTGACTTCTGTTATAACCTTCTCCCAGTTGGAGGAGGGGCTGAACATCTATCCAATTACCAGAAAAGGTTTATTCAGTAGAACAAGGTCAGCACAGGCTCAATGAGTAAGGAAGCTTATGCAAGGATAGAGGCTCTTGTCACAACATCTGCTTGTGACTTAGAAAGTACATTTGTTATAATGCATTTAACAGATACATGCAAAGGGAAGAGGCAGGTTTTTGAAGGTTTTTTTGCTTTGTTTTTTGTTTTCTTTAGCAGACCACACCTTTACAGTGATTGTGAGGTACGGAGAATAAAAGATACTGACTGCTGCATTTTTGTTTTATTTCTTTTTAAAGCACTTGATTTAGCAGAACAACATTCAGCCTTAGTCAGAGGTGTTTTCTACACACATATTAAATAACATAAAATTATATAATAGAGGAGCAACTACAAGAGATCACTGTTCGATGACCACTTGCAAGGCATTATGCCTACCTAAGACGATCGCTATGCAAAGTACTTGATAAACTTGAAAGTGCCACACAGATGTCAGTTAAAGTTGTCATAGAGGTTGTCCCACATGGAATCCAGACAAGAGGAGAATTCCTTACTGGTGCCAACGTTCTACAAATGATCCTACTGAGAGATGACATCGTGTCATGCTCATTGCATGGAATCCTAGAACATTATAAAGTCTCCTTAGTAAAAACCACAAAATTATTTGAAAGATTTTAGTTTAATCATCCACACTCAAAGAACGTGAGAGGATGAAAAAGGGCTGCTCTTCAGACTGTGGTGTTGTAGCTGAATAGACAGCCCACTGGTAAAATGTGTTTTTATCCCAACTGCCTAGGCATAGTAGAAACTTGGTGAGTATTTGCTAATTGATTGACTAATAAGTGGATCTATATCTTGAATGGGAACTACAGCCAGACAACGAGCTTAGTGATGATGAGGAGGAGATCGGGCTAGGTTGCATGTGGGGAATTGCTCAGCACTTTTTAATGACCCCAAGCTTGTCTCACTGTGGGAATCATCCATGCTCTGTGGCTCTATCATTAAACGATGACCCTCAGGGCAATGGAAAGATATACAGTGGATGCGAGTACAAGAGAGCAAATCACCAGCATGTCGCCAATGGTAATTTAGGGGAGTAAGAGACATTGTCAGAGGCCCAGATAACTTAAAAGAAAGGAATAGGTCGCTCATCTAGTGAGTATGAGTGGCAAAAGGTGGACAATCTGAGTGTTAGATTGATCTGTTTAATATATTCCAAAAACCAGAGGAAGGGCTTTGGCACTTTGGGTAGATTTTCCATAGAGTATTTTTGGAATTACATAGGTGAAAATCATATGAAAAATAATGGAGATTATCATGGGGATCTGCATCAGTTCAGGGAGCAGCTGCATTAATGAAATCACAATCCATTTAGGAGGATTATGTCTTTATTATTACATTGTAAAAATGAGGGGAGCATCAGTGATGCCTCTATCCACGAAGATGTGATCCTGGACGGTGAAATATGGAGATAATCTTTTTGCAGGATCTTGAAGGAGAGTAAGAGTCTCTGGTCTGAGGAGGGATACGATAATTCAACATGTGCTTGGAGGGTCTGAAGCATTCAAAGACTAGGGAGAGAGCAGGACAGTCGTGTTTAAGGCTAGTCATGGCCAGCAAAGCAGAGAGCAAATGAGAGTTGAGCACAGCAGAAGTCAGAGATAATATGGTCACTGTAGAAGAAATGGATTAGGATGCCAAGTGAAAAGTTGTAGCTAATATAATAAAAACGACTTCCATTTCTATTGCACTTAAAGTTTACAAGATGCTTTCTTCCCTACAACCCTATTCCACAAGTACTATTATTTCAATTTTTACAGATGAGAAAACTGAGGTTCCAAAGGGTTAAACATCTTGCCCACCCAGAGTCACCATGCCAGCATGTTTCAGTCAGGATTGCAGCCGTTTGCCCCTCTCGCCAAAGGAGAAGCCAAGTAAAATGGGCTGGAGGCCATGGAAGTAGGTGTAAGCTGAAGTGGCTGAAATATAATATGAAGGATAGGGAGTCAGGACGTAGGTACACCTTCTAGGTCCTTGGTTGGTGGAGTAAAAGGGATTAACAACCAACATACATTTTGAATTTGTTTTCTGGTTTCTTTGAAGAAAAAGATGAAGCTGCAGTTTCCAGGCTTCCCAGAACCATCATTTATTAGGTAATAATAACTCATGCATATTAATACTTTATATTTATAAATCACAAAGATACATATGTTTATATATTTATAAATTATAAACACATATTTTATATATTACATTAATACTTTAAGATACACATTCACACACATATATGTATATATTTACATATACATATACATTTGTAGTAAGTTTACATCCACATGTCTGAGGGGCTTACTTGAAGCGAGTGGGGAAAGTTCTTTAGAGAAGTCTCTCTCCTCCAGATTCCTGGATTTGAATAAGCAGTTTTCAGATGAAGAAATCAAAGCTATCACAAAGATAAAATAAAGGGCAGGAAAATAGAATTTGTTATGTAAAAAAGTAGGAGTAGTAATCATGATCTCAGACAAAGTTAAAGCTAAAGTAGATTTAATCAAAAGACAAAAATAACGAAACTATACTAGGTGTCAGCAATATTATTCAATATTATTTTAAACTACTTAAAATAACTAGACAGTATAAAAAACTTGAGCACATACCTGCCAAAACAGTCACAGGAACTATATGAACTTAATGTAAAATGCTTTTTATATAAATAAAGTCAGATCTAAATAATTGAAGTAACATTTATTGTTCATGGGTAGGTAAAGCCAATATAATAAAAAATGACAGTTTTACTTAACTATTTATTCAATGTCATATCAATTAAATTACCAAAAAATTATCTTACTGAGTTAGAAAAAATAATAACAAAGTTCATTTGGAAGAACAAAAGGTCAAGAATTTCAAAGAAACCAGGAGAAAAAAGATGTAAAGAAAACAGATTCAGCAGTATCAGACCTTAAACTACATCTTATGAGATGAGAGCATTGTTGAAGTGTAAAATGGATAATTTCTATTATTTTAAATTTAAAATTTTTGGTACAAATAAAACCAACCTAGTCAAGAGTAGAGGAATGCAAAAAATTGGGGAAAAACTTTCATTGACAATCTCTCAGATGGGAAGTGATTGAGTTGGAAAATTGCTGTGGTATAGGAAATGAAGAACTGGTTGATGTAGAAAAACATGGAAAGACTTGAACTTATGAAGGAAGATGCTATACACCTTCTGAGAAACAGATGATAGAAGGAAATAAGCATAGTATGGTCTTACATATATGAGTCTGTTTATAGATCTCTATGTATATGTGTATATATATATATATATATGTATATATATATATGTATATATATATCTGTATTTAATTGTAGACTTAGGTGGGGACAGGGAAGCGAGAGGAAAAAACAAAGTAAAAAGTACACAGCAGAGAACAAAAGAAAACTTACAAGGAAGTAAAGAAAAGCTGGGTAGCTTTGAAAACAATGTGTAGTATTTATTATGTGGGTTTTCCTGAAATAGAAATTTATTATTTTATATTGAATCCTCTCATATGTTCTGCTGAGTACATGGCAATGTTTTTTTTTCCTCTTTTCAATTTGTATTTAAGTTTAAAATGAATTTTTAAAATTTACCAAAAAAAAAAAAAGAAATCAAAGCTATCCATAGTCATATAAAAATGCTCTAAATCACTATCAATTAGAGAAATGCAAATTAAAACAACTCTGAGGTACTCCCTCACAACTATCAAATTGTCTAATACGATAAAAAAGGAAAACGATAAATGTTGGAGGGGATGTGGGAAAATTGGGACACTAATGAACTGTTGGTGGAGTCGTGAACTGATCCAACCACTCTAGAAAGCATTTTGGAACTATATCCAAGTGACTATAAAACTGTGCATGCCCTTTGATCCAGAAATACTACTACTAGGTCTGTATCCCAAAGAGATTTTTTAAAAAGGGGGAGGGGGAAGGACCTATTTGTACAAAAATATTTATAGCAGCTCTTTTTGTAGCGGTAAAGAACTGGAAATTGAGGGGAGTCCCATCAATTGGGGAATGGCTGAACAAGTTGTGGTATGTGATTGTGATGGAATACTATTGTGCTATAAGAAATAATGAGCAAGCAGATTTTAGAAAAACCTGGAAAGACTTACGTGAACTGATATAAAGTGAAATGAGCAGAACCAAGAGAACATTGTACATAGCAGCAGCAATATTATATGATGACCAACTGTTAATGACTTAGCTGTTCTCAGCAATACAAGGATCCAAGACAATTCCAAAGGACTCATGATGGAAAATGCTATCTGCACCCAGAGAAAGAACTGGTGGAGTCTGATACTATTTTTCACTTTATTTTTTTGTGGGTTTTTTTTTGTCTGGTTTCTCTCACAATAGGACTGATATAGAAATACGTTTTGTGTGATTGCACATGTATAATCTATATCAAATTGCCTACTGTCTCAAGAGGAGGAGGGAAGGAAGGAGGATGGGAGAGAATTTGGAATTCAAAATTTAAAAAGAATGTTAAAAATTGTTTTTACATGTACTTGGGAAAAAATAAAATAGTATACCCCCCCAAAAGAAAAAAAAAAGACACATTCTGTTTGGCCCCAGAGGAAAGAACTAGAAGGGTCAAGTGGAAGATGCAAAGAGGCAAATTTAGGTTTGACGTAAGAGAAAACTTCCTCACGGTTAGAACGGTCCTGCAGCAGAATGCATGGGCTGCCTAGGGAGGCAGGCAATAGATTCCTCCTTAGGTTTTTGAACAGAGGACCGGTGGCTGCCTGCCAGGGAAGTAAAAGTGGGGGTTTCTTTTGGGTGTGGATTGGATTAGGTGGCAGCTGAGGGCCTTTCTAACTGAACCTCAAGTTGCTTGTCTACACAAAACTTCCACGGCGTAAACAGCGTAAGTATTGTGACTGTCACTTTACAAATGAAGAAGCTGAAGCCCAGAGGGGTTAAAGTCATCTGTCCCTCGTGTCACCCATCTCAGTCCCTTATCCTCAATAGGATTTGGCCATTTGACAGGTTTTACTATAAGTTCAGATTCTTCCCACTACTTTATACAATTTCCCCAGGTAGACCCATAAGAAAGCTCAGGCTCTACGTCTGTCCTTCTTTTGGTAAGGCCTTGGACCTGATCCACAGGAAGGGCAAAGTGAGTTCTTAACTGGAACAGCACAGAGCTAGTTGCCTTTGAACTAGTAACATGTTCCTTAGATCTATGTAGAAGCAGCTATCAATACTTCTTATAAAATCTCACAGCTGATGGGACCCTCGGAAGTCTTCTAGTCCAACCTGGGCCTGAATAGAAATCCCTAAGCCATTCAACCCTTGCTCCACTGCTGGAATTTCTTAGGATCATGAATTTAGAGCTGAAAAAGGGAGCTTATCCAGTGAGGCCACCTATTTTGGGGCAACTGAAACTTCCATCCCTTCCTCCTGGTTCTTGTCCTCTGAAATCATGCAAAATGAGGGGTTTCTTGCCTCTCTGCACTGAGAGCAAAAAGGGGACCCCACTAAAGAATTGGAAATTGAGGGGATGCCCTTGAATTTAGAAATGGATGACCAAGTTGTGGTATGTGATTGAGATAGAATAGTATTGTGCAATAAGAAATGATGAGCCAGATGCTCTCAGAAAAACCTGGAAAGATTTGCATGAACTGATGCAAATTGAATTGAGCAGAACCAGGAGAACACTGTATACAATAATAGCAGTGTTGTACAATGGCCAATCATGAATGACTTAGTTATTCTCAGCAATACAATGATCCAAGACAATTCCGAAGGACTCATGATGAAAAATGTTATCTACCTGCAGAGAGAGTACTGATGGAGTCTGAAGACAGATTAAAGCATACTTTTTAAAAACTTCTTTCTTGGCTTTTTTTTTTTGTCTGTGTTTTCTTTTACCACCTGACTGATATGGTAATATCATTGGCATGATTGTACATGTAAACTTAAATCAAATTTCTTGTCTTCTCAATAAGGAGGAGGGGAAGGAAGGAGGGAGACAATTTAAAATTCAAAATAAAAAAATGTTAAAAATTGTTTTTACATGTAATTGAGGGAAAATAAAACATTAAATACTAAAAAAAAAAAAACCCCAAACTGAAGAAAAGGGAAGGCCTTCTGATCTTTTGCACTTGGGCCATCTCTAGAGCAGCAGTGTTCACTACTGAAGGACTTGGGCTTTGGAATGATCTCTTGGTCCCTGTCAGTCGGTGGGTGGGCAGGGGAAGGGAAGGGAGGAGTTTTAGTTTTGCCAAAGAGAATTGGCCAATGAGCATGAATTGCTGGTTATTCAGTAAACTCAAAAGGAGAAGCAACTCCCAAACATCACTCTCTCTAGGGTGAAAACATTAAAACCTAAAATCATTTTGTGGGACTGTGGACTAGATATTTCACTTTCAGCTTTCACCTCTCCTGCCTGATCTACTCCAGGCCTTATCTTCTGGCTCATTCTCCTGTCAGTGGTCAGCTTTTCCTCCAAGAAGGACTTTGGTATCAAGAATCATGTCTCCCTGCCAGCCAGTATCCAGATCCAGGAATTTTTGAACTCTGGACTTCATGAGGATACTACCAAGACTAGGAATATCCATGTTAGGATTGCTGTTTGTTCACCTGGATTCAAGGAAAGAAACACAGAACAGAAGTATCCAGGGCCCCGAGGTCCTGTCTTGAGCTTACCTAGAAGTCCATATGTCTTCACTGTCATGTGCAGGCTGCTTCCCTAGTTGCTGGGGGGATGGGAGGTGGGGAGGGGGTAGAGGAAGAAATATCTCCACTACTCCCCCAGTGAGAAGCTTACAGTCCTGATGAGCTCAACAGTCAGGAAGACAGAGTGATAGCAGAAATTGTCTCTCCTTTTAAGTGTCTCTTCTTGCCCAATACCTAATTCTATTTGAAATAGCCCTTCCCAACTCTTCTCCCCCCTCATTCATGGGTGCCAAGGGATCAACCAAGACCCTTCAGTTGCTCATGCCTTTCAAGAGGCCAGAGAATATGCGCCATCCTAAGTGGCTGGTTCTCAAGCTCATCATGCTCGGGCCCATCACTTCTTTTATTTACACACACATGTTATATATGTGTAAATAGACATATACCTACATATATATTTGTATGTATATATGTATGTGTGTGTCTCTATATATACGTGTATGTGTGTGTGCATCCCTTCACTTAACTTGAAGACAACTGTGATATCCTTCTTAAGCCTTCTCTTCTCTTTCTAAATAGTTCCTTCACCAGGTCCTCCTCTGACATGGTTTAACATTCCTTCACCATCTTGGAGCATGATCCAGTCTCTCAGTGTCCTTCTTTAAACAAGGTACCTTCTATACAACACAATGGTATAGATAAAAACTAACCAGTCCAAAGGAGAGGAGGGTATATGTTTTTTTAAGTTGCTCTTGAAATAGAGGATCTAATGGGAGATGTTAAGAATTAAGAAGTGAAATTTTAAAAAATTTTAATGTAAATGTCATCCTTTTCTATAGAGAAGAAGTATGTAACTAACATTGTTACTGCATTTGATCAGAATTCCATTGATTTTTAGTGTGGCTTCATTTATATTATTTTAGTCACTGTGAATAATGTTATCTTGGTTCTGCTTTCTTTGCACTGCCTCAGTTTATACAAGGCTTTTCATCTGGGATATTACATTCTGTTATATTGGGGCTACTAAGTGGCACAATGGATAGATCATTGGGCTTGAAGTCAGGAAGGCCTGAGTTCAGATCTGACCTCAGAAACTTACTAGCTGTGTGACCCTGGGCAGGTCACTTGGCCTTTGCTTCAGTTTCCTCATCTGTAAAATGGGGATAATAATAGCACCGCCTTCCCAGGGTTGTTGTGAGAATCAAATGAGATAGTAATTGTAAAATGCCTAGCATAGTACCTGGTATGCAGTAGGCATTATATAAATGTTAGCTGTCGTTATTATATTGTATTCATAAACCAGTTTGTTCAGTCCAATTGATGGATACATATTTTGTTTCTAACTTTTTGTTACTACAAAAAGTGCTGTTATGAATATTTTGGTGCACATAAGAATCATTTTTTCTATCCCTGGCCTCCTCAGAGTGATTATTGTCACTTTACAGATTAAGAAACTAAAGCCCAGAGGGGTTAAAGTCACTTGTCCCTGGTCTCAAATAGTTATAAAATGTTTTCCAGAATGTTTGTGCTAATTCTCAGCTCTACCAGCAATTTAATAGTGTGTCTCACTTTCCACAATCCCTTTGACATTGACTATTACTATATTTTATAATTTTTCCCAATTTCATATATGTGAAGTAAAAGCTCATTTGTTTTAATTTGCATTTTGTTATTAGTGATTTTTTTCATGTGATTGTTGATTAATTTGCATTACTTCTTTTGAAAACTGTTAATATCTTCTGACCACTTTTTTTTTAAAAGAAATGTCTATGCATCTTATATATTTGGCAATTTCCTATATATCTTGACTGTATCAGACCTGTATCAGAGATATTCCATTTGATAGTTTCTCTTCTTATTCTACTTGCACTGATTTTGTTTATGAGAAAGCTTTTCAACATTATGTGATTGAGATGAACTATTTTGTATTTTGTGATGAAATCAAAATTAAAGCAGTAATATCAATGATGATAGCTCATATATACCTTTTTAAGGTGTGCAAAGCAACTTACACAATGATCTCATTACCTCGTTTACCATTCTTCTGCCTTCCCAGACTTCACTCTTGTTTCTTTCATCTTAGTATCTCCCAAGGCTCTATCCTGGGCCTTCTTCTCTTCTCCCTCTCTACCAGGGGTGGAGAACCTGTGGTCTTGAGTGCTGCCCTTTGACTGAATCCAAACTTCACAGAACAAATCTGAGGCCACATGTGGCGTCAAAGCTACAGGTTCCCCACCCCTGCATACTATTTCACTTGGTGAATTCAATTATCATCTCTACACAAATGATTCTCAGATCTATTTGTCCAGCCCAATCTCTCCCTTGACCTCAAGTCTCACATTTCCAACTAACTGCCATATTAGATATCTCAAGGATGTCCAGTAGATATCTTAAATTTAACATGTTCAAAACTGAAATTATTATCTTACTCTTCAAAACCTCCCTCTCTTACTAACTTTACTGTTTAGGGTCACCCAGACTTGCAACCTAGAATCCTTGTTCTTTTACCACCCTCGTCCTCCATTTCCAATCTGTTGGCAAGGCCAATGGATTCTACTTTCACCACATCTCTCATGTATGCTCCTGACTCCCCTCTGACGCTGCCATCACCTTGGTGCAGTCTCTCATCACCTCACACCTGCACTGTGCAATAGCTATTGACATCCCTGCCTCAAGTCTCTCTCCACTTTGATTCATCCTCCACTCAGCCATCAAAGTGATCTTCCTAAGAGCATAGATCCAATCATCACACACACACACACACACACACACACACACGCCCCCATGTCAATAACCTCCATCAACTCCCCATTACCTGCAGGATCAAATATAAAATTCTTTGGTTGGTTTTTAAAGTCCTTCATAACCAGCCCCCTTCCTAAATTTACAATCATACGTCACTTCCTTTCCCATACTCTGTGATCCAGTGACACTGACCTCTTTGCTTTTCATTGCATGAATCACTTCATCTTCAGATGCCATGTATTTTCACTGGCTGTCCTCTATGCCTGGAATGTTTTCCTTCTTCAACTCTGCCTCCTGATTTCACTGACTTCTCTGACTTCCTTCAAGTCTCAACTAAATCCTACTTTCTCCTGGTTCCCCTTAATGCTAGGGCCCTTCTTGTGATTCTTTCCAATGTATGCTGTATATACCCACAGACATAGATCTATCATATATATATATATATATATCCTTAGTTATTTGCATATTCTCTACCCCATTAGACTGTGAATTCTTTGAAATCCTTTCTTTGTTTCTTTGGTGCCTGGCATATACTAGGCATTTAATAAATGCTTTTTGACACTACTTTAACCTCTTCCTAGCTGGGTTAGGAGGAGAGGTCATCTTGTGTCCGTCCAGGTCACTTCTTAGCACCCTATACCCCAACTCTTAGCCCAACCATGGGCCTATCAAAAGCTCTTCCCTGATAACAGAGCTCTAAAAAGCCACTTGGCTCAACCCCACTACCCTTCCTTGGATCTCACTTGGGAGCTTAGTTAAAGTAATACTAAACATTTAAGAGTTTATGGGTTGGTTTTGAGGCTGACCATTTTGAAAGTCATCCAAAAGGAAATAATCTATGGCATGGGTTCTATTTTTTAAAATTAGCTAATTCTACTGAATTATGTTCACAGAATAGTTCTTGAGGTCATTAGTGACCTTCTTGGTACATCACGTGGAGATGGAATTCTTTGTTTTGTTTTAATAATATATCACATCTGATATGCCTAATACCTTATCTGGGAGGATGCTTCCGAAGACCCAAGTGTCTTTCCTTTTAGCTTTTATTATCACCGTTGCAGGAAGTGAGTGGGATGGGGTGAATGAAAGAATGGGGGAGTGGGGATGGAAAGAGCGAGAAGAGCCATAGCCTTTAGATCTGGGAGGGGCCTCAGAAGTTATTTAATTGAACTCCTCATTATACAGATGAAGAGATTAAGGCTTAAAATTAGGAGCTTTGAGTATAGTTATACAAGAAGCAAATGGCAAAGCCAAGATTCTAACCTAAGTCTTCTGACTTCTGATACAAGGATATTTTCACCGTGCCATGTTACCTCTAGAGAAAGCAATACCACCATCCTGTCATCAGCTATAGAACCAGGCATCTCTTCCCTGGCAGCTCAAAGGAAATTTGGATCCAGTCATGATAGAGATTAGCTGAACAAGGAGCTGATGTCAGGGGATGAAGGTTGGAGGGGGTGGGGGGGTAGAACATTTAATCAAGACATCAGGGCAAGGGGAGGCCATAGCCTCTTATAAGACCTTATATTTGTGTGGCACTTTTAACTCTTTTCCAGAGACCTTTCATATCCATCATCTCAGTTTATCCTTGCAACAACTCTGTGAATTTTGTTGAGCAGATTTTACTTGGCACCCCCTACCCCTCCATTTGACAGATAAAGAATTTGAGGTTGAGAGGTAAAAACGATTTTCCTCAGGTCTCCCAGCTAGTACATGGCAGATCCAGAATTAGAATGCAGGTCTCTTGTCTCTTGGCATCTCTTTCCATTATAGCATGCTACTAATGAGCCTTGAGGTCACACAATTAAGGGAAAGATCTAAGACGTAGAGGAGGGATGGCAAGGTGGAGGACATTGCCCAGACCTAGAATTCAGAATTTTAGAGCTGGAAAACACCTCACTAGTCTAACCGTCTCATTTTATAGGTGAGAAAACTGAAGGCCTGGATGATGACCTGACTTGTCCAGAGTCTCAGAGGGAGTTAGAAGTGGAGCAAAGGCAAGAGTCCAGCCCTCCTGACTCTTACCCTGTGCCCTTTCTCTTGGCCTTTACAACTAGTGAGCCAGAAGTTTACATGGCAAAAGCAAGGTAAGCACAAGATTTTGGGATGAAAAGAATAGTGGGACACTACTCAGATCTGAAATCAACTTCCTAATTCTGAAGGGGAGGTTATTGAAGCCCCAAGAGCTGAAGTGGTTTGTCCAACATCATATAGTTCAGGAGTGGGGAACCTGCGGCCTGGAGGCCACATGTGGCCCTCTAGGTCCTCAAGTGCAGCCCTTTGACTGAATCCAAACTTTACAGAACAAATAATAAAAGGATTTGTTCTATAAAACTGGGACTCAGTCAAAAGGCCACATGTGGCCTCTAGGTCACAGGTTACCCACACCTGTCCTAGACCTTCTGGAAAATATAACCCATATGAGGCCCATAGATCCATGGGAAATGTCTTCTGATTGGACATGACTTCCCTATACATTTGTTCAAACAACCATTAAGTGCCCAATTTGCACAGAACAAGATACACAAGAGAAAATACAAAGGCACATAAGACAATCTCTGTCCCTATGGAACATAAAATACTGCAGAGGTGGATATATCACATGCCTCATGCAAATATATAATAAATATGTCTGTAATTGACTGTGGGTTTTCCTGAGGAATTTAAGAAACCTAGGAGTTCAGCTGGTGAAAAGTGTCTAGGGCATGAGTCTTCTTTAAATGCAGATTTTTAAAAATTTTTTTAAATTTATTTTGACTTATCAACAATCACTTCCATATGCTTTTGAGTTTAAAATTTTTCTCCCCCTTCCTCCCCACCACCCTCCCCAAGATGGCGTACAATCTGATATAGGCTATATATATATATTCTTATTAAATATGTTTTCAGATTAGTGATGTTATAAGTAAAAATTAGAACCAATAGGAGGAACCACCAGAAAGAGGAAATAAAACACAACAGAAGAGAAAAAAAATAGCAAATAGTATGCTTTGGTCTGCATTCAGATTCCATAGTTCTTTCTTTGGATGTGGATAGCATTTTCCATCACGAGGCCTTTGGAGTAAATGCAGGTTTTGAGGATGGTTTTTGACTCCATCTTCTAGCCCTCCAGTCAGAAGGGCAGAGGCTACTGAGGGTACTGATGAGGTATGACTACTAACACTGATGCAGTCGCTGGATGATGAGTTTCCTGGTGATGAGTATTTCCTGGGAGACAGCCATGGATCCTTTATTTACCTTCGGGCCTATCTTGAAGGCCTAAATGAAGACTTGGGAAACTGATTTAGTGCTCGTAATATCATCTACCATCAAAAAATACTCATTGAGCAACTCCTTTCTCTACTCAGGCAATCATGCAAGGTACTGGGGACCAAATAGTTTTTCTCAAGAAGATGTCCACTTAAATTGGGAAACAAGGCATGTGATTAAAAAGAGAACTAATTATAAGAGGACACCTATGCTGAGTGCCCTGTGGATGGTACAGGCCATAAGTGCTCAAGGAGTTCAGAGAAGGGAGAGACTGTAAAGATCTGGAATGGTAATGATAGATGGGATTTGAGCAGTGCCTTGAAGAAAGAGAAGAAATTAGATAATTGAAGAGAGTTGGAGAGAGCAGCAGGGAGGGGTAGTATGAGAGAAGGCAGGCAGCAAGGTTTGACTTCAAGGGACGGTTCCACCAGGTCAGCTGGACCAGAAGATTCCTAGAGGGGAGTATGAGTTACAAAGGGAGGAGATCCTGCCAGCCCTTAAGGGCAGGGCCAAGGAATTTGAACTTGATTCTGTAATGAGGAACCACTGTTGGAGGAAGATGAATTTGGCGGTGGGGAAGCAATGAGCTGAGTAGAGAGCACACCTAGAGTCAGGAGTAAGTACCTGGCTACTAGTCCTGCCTCTGACATATATGGGTTCTGTGACCCCTGCCCAAGTCATTTAACCTTTGGTGCTCCAGGGAACTCTTTGAGACCATGAGTTACGCATCTGAAGTGTGAGAGAGAGAGAGAGAGTTTGTGTACCCAGAGTTCCCCGTACCTATGGAATCATAAGTTTGGACCAATACAACAAATTTTATCAGGGAGATTCTTGATATTATTGATTGATTAGGCCCATATTTTGTAGATGGAAAGCTCATTACAAAGAAGGCTGAGAAGCTCATGGTCATACAGTTTGTGCATAGCTGAGCTAACACTCCTGGGTTTTCTAAGTAGAACCATCACAGAGTCCATATTTCTAGGTCAAAGTGTGGTATATTCAATTCAGTTTAATGAGTATTTATTAGATGCCTGTGACATGTAAGAAACTATTCTAGGTATTAGGGATACAAAGAAAGAAAGGAAGGAAGGAAGAGAGAAAGATAAAGAAAGAGGAGAGAGAGAGAGAGAGAGAGAGAGAGAGAGAGAGAGAGAGAGAGAGAGAGAGAGAATCTGCTATTAAGGAGCTTTCTATCTACTTGTAGGAAAACCAGGCATCATCACTGATCTCTTCTTTGGAAAGTTTCACTGTCCTATGAGAATTTTGGGTTATAGAGTAGCTTAGATGAGAAATATTTATACAGACCTTTGAATGATTCAGAGGGGAATATGAGGTAAACATAAAAAGTTATAATACAATCGAGAGAGAATTTTGCTGCCACCAAGAGCCTGGCTGGACATTTTTGTGAGCAGTTGAGAGAGAGGGGCCATTCAAGACCCTGGCTTGTAGAGGAGGTCTTTCTGAAGCTTCCTGCCCAAAGCACATGGCAGCACTGGGCTCACTCCATCCAATGCTGCATTTTCAGATCAAAGGCTGCAAGGGCCTACGCAATGAGCCCTAGAAAAGCTGTCCCTTCACTGTTCACTATTCAATAACAGGTCACATGTCAGTAGTCTCTTATATGTCCATTCATAATGTAGTCATAAAATATTAGTTGAAAAGGATCTTAGAGGTTTTGCCATCCAACCTCTTCATCTTCTCCATGTAAAACTGAAGGTTTAGTTAGTGGCAGAGTGAAGTCTAGAATCATCTTTCCCTTTTAATAAACTTGTTGCCAAGGTGACACATGCCCAAAAAACACTTTTCAGATACACCAGACACAAGGCTTCATTCCACTGCTTGACATCTGACTTGTTCGATCTTCTACTTCAGCTGCACTCCAATCGATGTGTTGGACACAACTTTCCACTCCATCATAGGAAGATTAAACTAGAAAAAGAGCTTGGCTCTCTCTTCAGTCTTCCCTCAGCACCCTACCTTTCTTATTCTCTTGGAGAAAAATTTTTATTTTTTTCTATTATTGATAGGATCTTGAGAGTCTAGTACACTCCCATGATCCTTAAAAAGGGGCAGCATGAATATTGTAAAATGTCAACTATGACTGACTCAGCTGTTCTCAGCAATGCAATGATCCAAGACAACTCTGAAGGACTTAAGATGAAAGATGCTATCCGCCTCCAGAGAGAGAACTGATGGAGTCTGAGTGCATATTAAAACATAACTTTTTCACTTTCTTTATTTTTCTCTTGACTTTTTTTTTTTGCAGCATGGCTAATATCTAAATATGTCTTGCATGAATTCACACGTATAATTGATTCACATTTCTTGCCTTCTCAATGGGTGGGGGAAGAGCAAGAGGGAAAGAGAGAATTTAGAACACAAAATTTTAAAAAGTAAATGTTAAAATTTTATTATAAATTAAAAAACTTCTCTAGATTTTAAAAAGACAAAAACCACAAGTCTACATTAACTCTCCAGTGACCAAAAGAAGATGACTAGTTATCCTTATCAAATAATCCAACTTGGTTATATATTGAGTTTAACTGAGAAACTGAAATAGGAAAAAAAAAAAGAGCAAAGAATATGCTCACCTTCATTCAGGGAGCCTCTGGCAGGAGTACAGAATGAAATTCACATCTTTTTCTCTCCAACCAATGGCTGAATCCTTTGGCTGCACTGTTTAAGATCGCTATTCAATTCAACAAGCATTAATTAAGCACTTGCTGTGTCCCAGTGTACTAGTATGCAAAGGCAGAAACAAGTCATTCCTTACCCTTAAGAGGCTTCCATTGTACCTGGAGGGGGCAGGGGGAGAGAGGAGAAGGGGAAGAGAGAAATAAAGCATGTACACATATAAGTAAACCTAGAGTTCCGAGACAGGAAGGTAAGAAGAGAGAGTGTCCCCGACATAGGGGACAGCATGGACGAAGCTTTGGAGAAAGGAGATGAAACATTTTGTCTAAGAGACAACCAGGAGGCTGGTTTGTCTGGAACACTGATGGGAGCAACCAAAAAGAAAAGAGGGTGGAGCCAGATGGGGACGGTAAATGTCAAACAGAGGACTTCATTTTCTCCGAGAGGCAGTAGGGAGCCACTAAACCTTCTTAACCAGAGGACTTACATGATCAGAACTACGCTCTAGGAACATCAGTGATGGTTTCATTTACCCCAACAACCTCTGAAAGGATACTGGACCATGACTGTAAGGCTCTGTTGCTAACGCAACCTTTACAGATTACCAAAGCAGACAGCACCCTCTAAGGGTCAAATGCTAGAATGAAATCCTAACGCTACAGGCAAACCCCTAAATTCTCCAAGGAAACGACCCTGTTTTGATTTCCCCAGTTAGGACACCCTGGACATCCACGTGGGAAAAAGTGCTACTAAAAATGGAAACATTCCTGTAGTCACATATTATCTCCACCTGAGATCAGAAATACTATTTTTAGTTATTATATTAGTGTAGCTGGCTACAATAGAAAAGAAAAGAGCTTATTAGCTGTACCAGAAAGAACATAGACTTTAAGAGAAAGAACTAGAGCATGGTCATACACACTGGTGGGATTACCACATTTCTGGTAAGATAGTAGATCACTGTGACTTCTCATCTATCCTGCTATTGCTTCTAAAGTTCCACCAGACTTTTCCATCTGCCCCAGGGTTGACAGGATAATTTGAGTTCCAGCTCAGATACTTATTATCTATATGACCCTAGGCAAGTACTTAACTACCCCAAGCCTTTGATTTCTCATTTATAAGTTGGAGATCCATCTCAAAATCCTCTAAATCTTCATCATTGAGTGAAAGCAACCTTGATGCCTGTGTCCAAGAGTGCAGACTCAGGTTCTACCATTGTGGAAAGGCTTTGGGTTTCTGGACCTTCCACTCTTCTGTTTCAGCTAGCAGCTACCCACATTCCAACAGGGCCCACCCCAGCCCCCATTGCCTAGTTCCCAACATGCATTGAGTACCCTGTCCTAGCTAGATCCTGACTTCTCTTATCCTCACCCCTGTTGGAGGTAATCCATAATCCTGTTCCACTCTGACCCTGGAGTTCACTACCTTCATTCCAGCAGGTGGTTAGCCAGAGAGCAAGCAGAACCAAATGTGGTTCTGGTAAGATGGTGGCCCACTCTGATTTCCCATCTGCCCTGCCTTTGCTCCTTAAGTTCCACCAGCCTTTTCCATCTACCCTATAGCAGAACCTTCCAGTGAATGTTGCATCCCCTGATTGGAATGTGAGTTGCTTGAGAGTAAGGCTCTCTCAATTTTCTATTTGTATCTAGAGTGCTTAGCATAGTGGCTGGCACACTGTACGTGTTTAATAAATGTTTTACCATCCCATTCCATGGTCCTGGCAACAGACACTCTCTGTTTTAGGAGGACTAGACCAAGTAAGGAAAGGCTCAATACTAGTAGCCTGGCTACTCGGTAAAAATTCATTAGCTATTGCAACCCATGAAATAAAGAAAAATACAACATGGTGACAGTGGTGGAGTGGTAGAAAAGGGGACCGAGGGTAAAAAGAAAATCATCATTTTGAGACCATCTGTAAACATTCATGTGACACTGCAAACTTTGTCTAGTGATCAGTGCACGGACAGACTACTAAAGGAACTGAACTGTATCAAACTTGCCTTTCTTGTTGTAAAGGAAACCAGAAGACAAAAGGATGTTGCTGCTAAATCAAAGGATGATACCCAGGTTCTCTGTGGAAGGGCAAATAAACTTATGCAGCTGATTTTATGATGGGTCTTAAAACAACAACAAGAATCATGATTCATGCAACAGACACTTGGTCATCTTTTATTGTGATGCTCATTATAAACATTCGCACAAAGACCTGCATGAAAATATTTGTAGCTTTTGTCAAATATATTTGTAGCTGAGTGACAGCAGATAGGACACTGGAATGGATTCAGGGAGACCTGAGTTCAAATCCTACTACAGGCATTTACTAGCTGTGTGACCCTGGGCAGCAAGTCACTTAATGGCAGTCTGCCTCAGTTTCTCTGTCTGTAAAATGGAGATAATAATAGCACATACTTCCTAGGGTTGTTGTGAGGCTCAAATGAGAACGCATTTGTCAAGCCTTTTGCAAAACTGAAGGTGTTATATAAATGCAAGCTATTATAATTCCTTATGTGCCATCATCTTTGGTGAAGGAGGAGGAAGTAAGAAATTCTACAAGAACTTCCTAGCCCTTGGAGAAAATACAGGTCCTTAGCATTAAAAAAAAAAAAAAAACCTGCATTCCCAGCTCCACAAAAATTTTTAGGGGAATGATCTACACATGTTAAATATATCTTTGATGATGGTATGGAAAGGGAATATGCAAGTTTTCACAAATGATATTCTATAACCATTAATCAACAAGCATTTATTAAGAATCTGCTATCTACTAGTTAGAGTGCAGCCACACAACTGATGAAAGATGCAGAGAATGTGAGAACCTACTTTGCTTATTATTTGTTGACTGTTTAAAAAAAGAAAAGCATGTGACTGTAAAACAAATTTGGTAAAGCAAAATTCTACCTTAAAGACTTTCCACCAATAAGGTGTTTCTCTTGCACATGCCAAATCACATGAGATTTGTTGAAGGATGTAACAACAGAGATAAATATTCAATGGCCCTCTCGTGATATCAAGTGAGATATAAAACTGGGAGACATATGTTCATAAATGGTTTTTGCCATTGTCATGGAGGATGTCTAGGACAGAATGTAGAGGGAAGAGAGAGTTCCTCGTATATCTTACAATCAAAGATCTTGGGCTAGAAAGGATATCGGAGTCCATCTTCAACAATCCCCTCATTTTACTGGTGAGAAAACTGAGACCCGTGGAATGTTAAGGCTGAGGTCTATTTGTGGATGATAATATGTCGTTTGCATGAAGTTCTAGAACATTGCGTAACTTCCCAAATGGGATCCACAATCACTCAAAAGACTGGCCTGATTATCCAAACAGGGATCAGATAAAGAATGCCCATTGTCTGGACTATGATAACCAGTTGGATGAACAAACCAGAGAGCTGGTCCATTAGTACATATCTGGTACAGATATTACAAATATATAGTGAACTTAGCCTATCATTAAACAGGAGGAAGAGGAGAGTAAACTGGTTTGCCTTTGGGAAACTGTGTCATGTTTTAAAAAAGCCTAAGTTTCTCCTTGAAACAGTGCCTATCTTCTATATACCAACATTCTTCTAGCAGTTCTGAATGGCTGTAAATCACAGGTTCTTTTTTGTTTATTTTTTATTTATTTATTTTTTGGTGAGGCAATTGGTATGTATCTGAGACTGGATTTGAATTCAGGTCCTCTTGACTCCAGGGCCGTGCTCTATCCACTGCACCGTCTAGATGCCCCTAAGTCACAGGCTCTTAAGAATTAAGGTTGCAAGCCATTCAAAGGTCAATGAAGAAGGGCACAGTGGTGTGAATACGTAGCAACCATTAAATAAGGAAGAATTGTGCGCCAGAAATGTCATAAAAGATATCACAGCCATATTGTGTGATGACTGACTTTGATAGCCTTAGCTCTTCTCAGCAATGAAACGATCTAAGACAACTCCAAAAGACTCATGATGGAAAAGGCTACCCACATCCAGATAAAGAACTATAGAGTCTGAATGCAGATTGAAGCATACTATTTGCTTTCTCTTTTTTTGTTTCTTCTTTCTTGTGATTCCTCTCATTTGTTCTGATTCTTCTTTACAACATGACTAATGTGAAAATATGTTTAATAAGAATATATATGTAGAGCCTATATCAGATTGCACACCAATCTGGTTGGGGAGGGAGGGTGGTGGAGAAAATTTAAAACTCAAAAGCTTATGGAAGTGAATATTGAAAACTAAAAATAAATTAATTTAAAAATTAAAAAAAGAAAGAAAAAAGCATAACTCAGGCCAAACCAGAAAGGCGGCTAAGGCCCTAGTGGCTTTTTGGGTAGCATGCCTAAATATGAAAGAATAAATAAACCCACTAGAGAGAGGTATATGCTAGGTGGTGCAGTAGTTAGAGTGCTGGGCCTGGAGTCAGGAAGATTCCTCTTCATGAGTTCAAATCTGGCCTCAGACACTTACTAGCTGTAGGACTCTGGGCAAGTCACTTAACCATAACTGCCTCAGTTTTCTCATCTGTAAAATGAGCTGGTGAAGAAAATGGCAAACCTCTCCAATATCTTTACCAAGAAAATCCCAAATGGGCACATGAAGAGTAGGACACAACAACAAAAGCAGGGTGAAAAAAGAGAAGCAAAAACTAACAACACATTTGGAACTTATAAAATGTGATTTGAAAACGGAAAAGCAAAAGGTTAAGAAATTATCTGAAATATATCAAAAAGAAAAAATTCTTAATCAATACAAACAAATGCACTAACTTGCAACTGAGTTTCAGAAAATTTGGAAACAGTCAGAAATTCAGAAAACAATGCAGAGGTTCAAAGGTAAGGACTAAGAACAGAGTTAAAGGGGATTAAATGGCAACTTGAATTAGCACAGCCTAAATTTGAATCTCAGTTAAAATTTAATGGCTGTGTTGGGTGCTGGAGAGGAACCATAATTAATTCAAGGCAGAAACTGAAAATTTTAAAGAACAGTTTAAAGAATTGTTCAGACCAACTGATTTTAGACACTAACCTCGCAGTCCCAATTCTGATACTTCAACATCAAGAAGAGTCGTGGAGAGTCTCCACTTCGCTAGTTAAAGATGGGGAGAACCCTTATCTGAACTACTGAGGCAGGAGCAACAGCTTAAGGGTACCAGAAATGGAAACATGTTTATGGAAGTTTTAATTAATTTGTTTATTTGCTTATTTGTTTTTAGAGTTTGTTTTCCTTTGCAACACAGAAATAATTCGAAGCCATTTAAGGAGAGACATCATGGATTTGGAGGTTCTTATCAAATCAACATTATGTTCCTATTTGGTCTTCCAAGAAGCTGTATGGGAGAATAGAATACACTTCCACATCTTGCCAGTCTGTGAGTTGGTTTTTTTTTCTCTCATCAGCTTTGTTACGTTACAATACCAAAATTAACCTTTGAACACAGACATCCCCCAAATAATGGAAACTTATTTAAAAACTTGAAGTTTGGTTGGAATTCTATGCCTAAACCTTTAAATCAACACTTTGCTGTTGCTCAGTCGTGTTTGACTTTTCATGACCCCATCTGGGCTTTTCTTGGCAAAGATACTGGAGTGGTTTGCCATTTCCTTCTCCAGCTCATTTTACAGGTGAGGAACCTGAGGCAAAGAGGGTTAAGTGACTTGTCCAGGGTCACACAGCTAGTGAGTATTTGAGGTCACATTTGAACTCAGGTCCTCCTTCCTGATTCCAGGTCTGGTGCCACCTAGCTGCCCTACTGACATATGAGTTATGTCTTAATACTTGACAGGGAACAAAATTGAAGACAACTAGAATTAGAAATACTGTCGAAAATTACGAAGTGTTCAATTTAGAGTTCCACTAATTTCAAGCAAACAGATGGCTCACCAATTTGCTGGTCCACCACGTGAGCTACAAAGGCACGTACCTGCAAAGGCTACACATACTGAAAGACATTAATACTGTACCAATACTTTCACTCTGCCTCCGCAGAGAATCCTGAAGTTTGTTTGAACTGCACCTTTGTGTAGCTGGGGTGGTGGTGCAGAGCATGGGACCACCACATGTCCAGAGGGAGTCAAACAACATGATATTAGCAATGTGTCGATTCTGAACAGCCACCCACTGAAAAGAAGGATAGTTTACCATGATTTTTTGTTGTTCCCGACCTGTACATTGTATATTGTATATTGGTGCATAGAATTCTTGGTGAGGAAAATCACTATCAGTGTAAATCAGCAATTGTCCTACAGCTATAGTCTTATTGCAGAGTTGCCTAGGACACTGATAAGATTTGAGGGGAAGAGAAGGAAGAAAGGTGAGGGAGAGAGAAAAAACATTTACAAGTATAGTATTCTTTAATCTTTCAAAGGCATCTAGGTGGCATAGTGGATAGGGTCCTAGACCTGGAGTCAGGAAGATCTGAGTTCAAATTGGCCTCAGACAATTACTAGCTGTACAATCCTGGGCAAATCACTTAACCCTCTTTGCCTCAGTTTTCCCATCTATGAAATAGGATAACAATAGCACCTACCTCCCAGGGATGTCGTGAGGATAAAATGAGATGTTTGTAAAATGCTTTGTAAACTTTAATGTGTTATATGTAAATGCTAGCCATCGTTATTATAAAAAGGATATCATGCTAAAGAATATCGATTACACAGAATATTCATAAGATTCCTTATAGAGTTCTTCCCTAGCTGAAATTTACATTTATTCTAATTGGTTATTAACATGTTACTATTAGCTTTCTCCAGAGATGCCATTTTTTCTTATATGTTTCATTTCTTTACAGTCAAAATTGGACCCCATCATCCTCTTGTAGAAGTCTTTACTGTTATTTCAACATGAGTTCCAGCATTGTAAAGGTGGGAAATGAAGACCTGACTTTCTCTTCTGAGATCAGTTGAAACGTGGAGATCAGTGATGCTAATGACTTTTCTATTCAGTTGGTTCCAAGAGTTCTAAAACCATTATGACACCTTCCTCAGGTTTTCTGGTTTCCATAGTCATATTAATTATGGCAATGTATTTTCCTTGTGCTGCCATACTGTATATGGAAGAAATTACATAAACATAGATGCCTGATTTCCATTTGACCTAGTTTTATGGAATGGTGAACTGTGACAAGTTGCCATCATTGGTGATCTGGATTGGATGGCTCAGGATAAGATAACTCTAAAAACAACAACAATCACAATAGGAATGATAACAGATATCATAGAGTGTTTTGAAGTGTGCAAAGCATTTTACTTACATTATCTCATTTGAGCTCACAACGACTTTTGAGGTAGGTACCACAAGGTATGTGGTACCTACAACCACCATTGTACAGATGAGGAAACTGAGGCTGAGATGTTAAGTGACTTGCCCAGGGTCATACAGCCAGTAAAAGGTCAGAGGTGAAATTTGAACCCAGGTCTTCCTGACTTCTAAATCTACTCTGTCCAATATGCCATAATGCCCAAAGATGGTAAATGAGGGGCTTAGAGTGAATAATATCTCATTTAAGTTTTATAGCAACCACTTGTCTAGATTTTACAATGATTTTTTTTTCCAACGGACTTGTTTGGTATTTAGGTATCTACATAAATGACACTTAGCATTCCTGATCCTTGGGAAAGTCCTCCAAGGCAATAGAGAGCAGATAAAAATATCATCATTTATTATATCTCATTATGGGACTTAACCCTATTGATGGTTTCATGATGTGGTTGATCGAAATAGTTATTTGTTCTGGAAGGGGCAAAGGCAGTCAATGAATTAGAAGTCAATGAATTAGAAGTCAATGAATTAGAATTTGATGGGTTTTTTTATTTTGGTTTTGCTTTTTGTTTCTTACACTACAATTAATTCTCAATAAACCCCCCACTCCCTAACACACCCAGAACCCTCCTTTACTTGCATGGATCTGTGATGTAGTTGATGCAGGTACTTCCCCCAACTCTACAGATTTCAACCCATCCATTCTTGTCCCACCTGTGGGACTCATGTCCTTGTGCTTCCATAATTCCAGTACGGGGGTCCATCCAGCATTCTGGTAGTTCCGCTGTTGTATAGACAAGAATGGGCAAATAGGCTCTGGTCCACTGGTCATCTCTCACTCTTGCTATGTGACTGGCCCATCTTTTCTCCAGTCACACACCCTTATAATGTGCCATTTTTCTTGTGCACTTCTTTGGTCACAGCCGCTATGTATCTCCCCACTGGCCTTTGGTTGTCCCTCAGTTTTAATTCTTCAGAGACTGGGGTATTCTATGACTCACAGCCATATAGCATCCCTGAAGAATAATGATATGAAAACAATGGGCCCTTGTTCTAGGGAAAAACATGGGATCATTAAAAAAGTCTGCACAATTTCCCAGTGACAAGCCTGTTTTCTCTCTTCCTCTCATTTAACTCTGGGTCTGAGCTTATTGCCTATTTGTAGGATTTGTCCACGCTGCTATTCTGATGGGCTAGCGCTACAGGTTATCCATACGACTGCCCGTCACAGTCTGGAGAATAGGCATTCTTCATCCACTTGATTTTTTCTGTGTGGATAGTTAGGCCATACTTTCTTGAGTGGTTATGGATCTAATTGAGAAGGCTCTGCAGCCATTCAGGGATTGATGCAATTAGTATTCACACAGGAATATATGGAGCATATCACTACATATATGAGGAATCCCTCTTCCATTTGTACTCTGCCCTGGACATTGTCCGTGGCAGTGTCAAAAACTTGGTGGACATATGTGTCTCTCTTTCATTGCTTGGTTGAGATGAATGATCAGAGAAGTGCTGAGCAAAGTTATCTCTGTTGCTACATCTTTCAAGAAATCTTGTATGATTTTGACATGTACGTTAGAACCTTTGTAGGAGAACCTTTAAGGCAAAGGCCTTTTGCTCTACCTAATCAGATACATTTTTTTTATATAGCTCCCCCCCAAACAAGCATAATGGAATCTTATGTTTGTTGGACAATTGTGTGATTATTATTTGTTATAGAATCTGGTGAAAACCTGCCTGTTACCTTCTCAAACCTTCATCAAAGATTCCTCTATGATGTTATGCTGAACTAATGAGAGTGCCCATGGAGCACTATATGAAAAAAGAATTCCATTTTTGAGATGGAATCGGGTTTACACTGTTATCTTGGTGCAGTCACCTTTGAACAAAGTAGTAAGCTCAGAATTTCAGTATCAGAGTATTTTAAAGGCATATTATACAAATAAAATTCCAGGGCTCTTCAGGGCAGTCACAAATGTTGCTTCTAGGGTTTTATTATATTTTTAAAACCGTATCAGTCTCCACAAAGCCTGGGTTTATAGCTCTTCTGCAGTGAACTGGACAATAGGAGAAAATGAATGAATTTCATATAGTTTTAAAAAAGAATATTTGGCTAATAAAGAACAGTCTGTTTTTGCCAGGACTAAGCAGTCTAATTCTGGAAATAGAAGCAGCCAGTTGCAATCTTCCACATTGTGCTGCTAGCTGTGGCCTATGCCTTCAACAGCAAGTTCTGGTGAAAACAGTGGTGTTGGTTTCCAACAACTTCACAGTTTCTCAGGTTACCACAAGGAGAGTAATTTGTGTCCAAGTGGCTTATTTGTGAACAGTTTGGCTGTTGTATGAGGAACTTGCAGAAAAGCAAAAATATCCAAAAACTTATTCAAAGTGTCTTGTCCAGATAGGATATGTCTTCTGTTCTAAGACAAAGTAGCTCTATCAAAGTACAACTAGTCTGTTGTTATTTAGTTGTTTTCAGTTACGTCTGACTCTCTGTGACCCCATTTGGGGTTTTCTTGCCAGAGATACTGGAGTGATTTGCCATTTCCTCTCCAGCTCATTTTACAGATGAGGAAACTGAGGCAAACGTAACGGTTAAGTGACTTGCCCAGGGTCATGTAGCTGGTAAGTGTCTGAGGCTAGATTTGAACTTGTGAAGATGAGTCTTCCTGACTCATTGCGCCACTTATTGGCCATCCATTGTGCCACCTAGCTGTGCAATCTAGTCTGTACCCTCTTCTTTTATCTATGGCCTCATAGTTAATATTGACAAAGTCCTCAGCAGCTCTGCGGACCTCACCTGGGGTCTGGCACAGCCCTTAGCAATAAAGGCCAAGGAGGCCAGCTTTAATGAGCCTCTAATATTTTTTCTTCAGCATTTGCATCCTTCCCTCAAATCTTGAGAATTGATCCCTTAATGCCCTCCAGATGTGATGCCTCTAACACAGAGCTCTCCTGTGTTAAACTTAGTCTGCTAGTCCAGTTGTTACTCCCATTGTTTTTAAGTGTTGTTTTCAATTTCTCGTGACAGGCACATCTAGGACTGATGTGTAAGTCCAAATGTGGTGGAGAAAATAGTTTGTTGGAAAATCTTCTCTTCTTGTCTATTGGCAGTCCTCTGCCTAGTTTCATTCTTGAATGCACTCAACAAGAGTGCTTAGTTAGTACTCCCAGCTTTGGGCAAAACTATGTCTTATCTGTTGACTTTTGCTGGTTTATGAGGCAATTCTGCTTTTTACTGCTATCATTTTCTCTGAAAGATTTTACAAATTAGCTTAAACTTGTATACAGCTCTTTTTTCCTCTTAGCCAGGAGACCAAGAGTTTTCTGGCTAAGGCGATTTTTCAGTACTTTGGGTCTCTGGGTTATGACAATTAATTTATATAGGTTGCACTTGTTTAGGAAATGGTGATGGCCTGTCAATGTTCTTTTTTCCGTTTTCCAATTTTTTGGCCCCAGCATCTTATTTATTGAATAGATTGGATTGGAGTTGCTGCGGTTACATCCTGTATCCTCTTGTTTGTGTTTTTCTAATTTGTTATTGATTTTGAACTTTACTCTAACAACGATATGGGGATGACTCCCACATCAATAACCAGTCACTTCCTGTCAAAATATTATCAGCTTTATAATTGTGATGTTGTTTGGTGTTTGCCATGCCTCATAAAAGTGTGCAATTCTTATTGCCCTCTGCTTCCTTTTTTGCCATTTGGCTAACGTCACTGCAGAAGTAGAAGGGACCACAGGACAGGACTGAGGAGACATTTAAAATTTCTCTTTGTTTCAGGGATGGCCATGAACAAAGAGCTCATTACCCAATGTCCCCCACCCCCAGTGGTGATGAGCCTCTCTTGACTGGTCCTCAGAAAGCAGGTGTAGTCTGTCAGGACAATCTGTGAAGTCTTTCTAGCATAGCTTTGCATTCTACTGGCATAGACTTAAAGAGCACAGAATTACTTCCCTTTCACAATAAGTCATCAGAGTAGGATTCTATAGAGGAAACTTCCCTTATGGTGAAGAAAAATGAGTAAAACCAATCAATATGGTGAAAATGACTTGACAACATTTGTAGTCTACAGTCTCTCTACTGAGAGGAGGGAAGTGTTTCCTCATCAATTCAATTCAATCCAACAGACATTTATTAAGTGTGTAACATGTGTAAGACACCAGGTTAAGCACTGGATGTAAAAAAGACCAAACATGAACTAGTTCCTGCTCTCTAGAACCTTTAGGTTCAACCAGGAGGATGCAGCACATACACAGGTAAGGAAAAATGAAGCTACAAAGTAATTTCAAGAGGGCAACAGCATTATCAACAGGGAAAATCAAGAAAGACCTCTTGTTGGAAGGGTTACTTATTCTGTGCTTAGAAGGAATTGGAAGTTGTGAAAGGTGAGAGGTAAGAAGGGGACGCATTCCATGTGTAAAAGAGCTGTGCTTTGGCAAGGAGATGGAAGGTTGTGTCCAGGAGCTGTCACAGAGAGAATGTGAAGGGAAATTCCATATGGAAGAGCAGAAAGGTGAGGGGGTGGTGAGGAAATGGAGGCAGTGACTGAGACTGGTGCACCCATAAATGGGAGAAGAGATATAGTGCTCAGCTGAGAGAGAGAGAGAGAGAGAGAAAGGGGTGATATAGGAAGTTTGTAAGACATGAGAAAGTTTGGAGTAACTACTGTAGAGAAGAGTTACAGAGTGAATCAGGGAAG